TCCTGGAGATTGTTCGTACCAGATTGACTGGTGTGTTGTTTTTTGGTTTTTTTTTTCACATGTTAAACACCAGTAATGTTTTCTATAGCGCATCAGATGTTCCTGCCAATGTGTACGGTCTCTGTCGCGGGATGTGGTGCTGGTTTTCGCAGTTCCTCTTTCAAGCAGCAAATGGTTTTTGACTCTAGAGATCGCTTGATGTTGAGCTAAATTTCCTAGCTGCAAATTTAAACTCTTGGAGGTTTTATGTCATTTTGAAGAAGAAAAACATTCAAAATCCCTAAAAGGAAAACGGGAAAGCTTTTTTTATGGTTTTGTTTTTACTTCCTCTCCTTCCCTGTCTTTTCTGTCCCCTCCCGGCACATCCTCCCCGCTTCTCCTCCTCCCCTGCCCCAGCCGAGACCTCTAGAAAATGCGAAACTATGGAATTTGCTGCATCGAGTTCGGAGCATGTAACAAACATTCGAAACGCGTGTGGGGCAAGTGCAGCCGCCATTGGCAGTTTATTTTATTTCAATTTTTTTTTTTTTCAAAAAAAAAAAAAAGCCCACCAAAAACCCCATGGCTCCCTCTCCGGCTGCGCGGGAGATAACAATGGGGCGCTTTGTGCCGTTCTGCAGCTGCTGAAATTTGACTAGGTCCAACTGAAGAAAACAGGAGCAGGTGGGTCAACAACGTGACCCTTTCGTTCCCAGCAGTATCAGTGTGCGTCGGGGCCGAGGGACCGGGGCGGAGGTGAGCCCCGAGATTTAGCCCAGGCAATGAGGATGTGTTGGTTGGCGCTTTGAGGATGGGAGCTGCCTTTCTGGGATAGCCCCGATGCCTCTAAATATCGTTTGCTGCCATTTATAAAACGAGTTTCACTCCAAAAATGCTAGGATTGGGAGGTGTCACTGGACGTGATAAATGGGCATCATTACAGGCCGGAGATCTTTGCTCCGTTATCGGTGCTTTGATTCCCATATTGCCCACTAGTTTCTTGGTTTGTGCGGTGCTCCATGGCTGCCACATGGATGCTCATAAAGCTCCCAAAGCCCAGCACCTGCCCTCCCCTCCCACAGCCCCAAAGTCGGGGATCGTTTGGTTCCCCCTCTGGGTCCCCCCACGTCATGGAGATTACTTCCTTCATATCCATGTTTTTGCGGTGGTAGAACTGTCCTAAAAAATGTCAAGGGTGAGAATTTCTGCAGCTTGGAGGTGGGTTTGGTACGTGGTTCCCAGTATGTTTGGTGGAGATGGAGGATGCGGTCGTGTTGGGCTCCTTTGCCTGGCACTGCCACATCAGCAAATACATCTCATCAACACTTCCCACTTGATAACAAGAGGACAATAAGGTGTCCCGGTTTGAGGACCTCTTTGAAGAGGGGTAGAGGGGAGCATCTGTCGCTCCCATCTGGGGTCCCCCATGTTCCCGGTAGCCAATTTGACCTAAACCACAACATAAGGATACAGAGAAAAATACTGTTATTACTTAGCTGCATGGGTCAGCTGAGTACCAGTTGTTCCTAAGGTCTTCCCTGCTAAGGTGCGATGACTTGGTTGATTGCTTGTAGGTGTCACAGTGTGTTTGGACTTTGTGAGCCTCAGAAGTGATGTTAAAAAGTGGCAGTGCTCACTTCAGCCGTGTTCAGCAGACACATGGTTACAGCCTCAAACCTGTCTAAGATTGCAAGGGATTTTGAGTCTGAGGCTTTTAAGGGGTAGACGTGAACAACTGTTTGTAAGGCAGCAGTTAGAAACGCAAGGTTTCTGTTGATGGATCGTGTAATCTTGCCTTTCTAATATCAACTTACAGTAAAACGAATGTAAGATGGAGCGGAGCTCCCCCCTTTTTACGCCGCACTGTGGATACAGTTGTGGTGTTGAACAAACTGTTTGCATCCTTGAAAGTCTTCATGATTTAGCTGTAATTTTTAGTAGAAAATATGACGCATGTAGTGTCTTGGATAATCCTACCATCACAAGCGCTTGCATGGGTCATGGAGTATCATCAAAGCAGTACTTTGTTTGCACATGGTGAAGCCTATAAGAAGACTAACAAGTTACACTCAGGATGAGATCTGTGCTAAATGGGGAAGGGGAAAGCGGTGACAACTTTGGCCGTGGGTAGGGAGTGGGAGGGCTGTCGCGGGGAAGGGTCCAGGGCGAGGAGCTGCTTGGGGTGGAAGGAAGATGGATGGAGGCTGGAGAGGAGCTTCCACCGCCGAGAGCAGGGTATGGGACTGTTTGGGTGATGTGTGCTAGTACGGAAAATTGATCTGCATGACCACATTACCAGCTGTGGAGGCTCAGTCCATCAGGAAGAGGGTTGTTAATAAATCAGAGGCTCTCCGTGCATATCTGCGACTTAAACTTGGGTTTTTAGCGGGAACTTGCTGCGATCTGGTATGAAGGTCAGTGGCAGAGCAAAGTAGAGCACAGCACTTCATCAGCGCTAGCAAATCTGCCCGGTGCCGTCGATGGGCACAGAGCAGCCGGAGCTGGACAGGATTTAGCCGCAAGCCGAGGAGGTTTAGACGGAGACTTCTGAAACGCTGCTGTGACCGTAGTTTGTCCTTGGCTGCACTTGCGGTTAAACCCTGTTTGGTGCCGGCTTAGCTGCGCCCGCTGCCAGCCCCCGTTGTCAGCAGCGGGTAATTTAAGAGGTTTCTCCCAACAGCTGGCAGCACTGTTCGCTCCGGTCCTCCCCTCCCGCCGCGGCGCTGGGCTGTCCCCCCGCGCTGGCACGGTTCGCATCGGATTATGCGGTTGGACTCGCAGCCGGGCGGTGGCGGTGCCAGGATTCAAACTTGTCGCTTTGGAACAAGAAACACAGGTGCAGGCTGAACTCATCGTGATCCTCGGAGGCCGACGCATGCCGGGAAGGCTTCGGCTTCGCTTGGGACACAGGCACGCGTGGGCTCACGCAGGACATCCCCGCGTGCTGGCTGCACGCTCGCGTGACCCGTTTAACGCAGCAGAAATGCGCCGCGCCGGATCGAGAGGTCCTTTCGTGCCACTTCCCTTCGCACGCACCTCTCCAGGAGTTCGGTTTTAAAATAAAATTAAAAGAAACGCCCCTGTGTCCTGCTTGGTGAGAGGCGATGCTGCTCTGGAAGGGAAATGCGTACGCGTAGGGACCTACAGGCCCTTTTGGAGATGGAGAGGCGGACAGCCGTCCCACGTGCATCCTATACGTCTGCAGGGGAACACAGTGATTAACATATGAAAACGCTGATAACAGTGGGATTCTTGTGCAGGCAGAAACGGAGGAGATATACTACCATTTTGGTGCCAGTTAGACCCATAACTGCTATTTGTGGCTGGGTTTAGTAACAATTAACCTTTCACATTTTGTATTAGCCATTGCTTTCCTGGTGCAGCTGCTTTTATAACAATATACTTTGCTTCTCCTCTCAGACGCGCTAATTTTGGCAGTTGGGATTTCTGTTCTAGAAACCACAGGATGTATGGAGGGAGAATGGGGATTTTTTTAATAGCTATTTGATGTGTAAGAATCTTTTCGAGGGGAAAAAAAGTTACGTTTTGAGTTACATTTTGATTTAAGCGACCTTGTGCTTATTAAGATATATTAAAAAAAAAAGGAGATTGCATGACTGGTACTTGAAATATTTTAAAGTAAATTCAATGTGGTTTTGCTTGTGTGACAGCATCAAATCACGGGTTTGAAAAATCTCGACCTGGTGTGCAATGGGGTGTCTCCGACTGGAGCTGGCAGAAATTAATGCCTTTGGGAGGTGTTTCCCTGGCCGTCGGGGCTGGGTGAAGGGAGTTGTTGTGGACCAAACTTTGTTGCTGCCGTTTGAAAACCAGTAAAGTGCCTGGGGGACTCTTGGGAAGGAACGTGGCTACAAGTGACCCGTGGGCACTGTCTGGTTTAATTTATGTAGACATGTAGGTGGGAATACTAGAGTCTTAAATGGCTCCAACGAGGTTGCTGAGTTTTCATGAATTGTCCCTACTAGTGTGCCTTTTTTATTATTTTATTTTTTTTAATGGCTTCAGAGTGCAATTGCGTCTCTCGGAAATATTTGAAAATAAGAGCGTGTAATTGGAGGTAGGACAAAATTGGAGAAATTTGGTTTTGACATCAGTATGTTGTTACTTAAAAATGTAGTGGAGGTTGGATTTCACCTGTCAAAACAGGACTGCTGTGTTCTGGCTCTTTCAGAATAAACATTTCAATGTTTATACTTTATGCTGTGCTGGAAAAAGAAAATGCAAAATGCAGATTTGCATGAAGCAGGTTACAGTCTGCCTTCTCCAAAGCATCTGGTATCACAGGTAACAGGTTCACTGTGTGGTTACGAGGCTGTGCTTTGGTCTCAGCACTACCGGTGTTCAGTCTAGAGTAATTTTGCTAAATCCAGCAATGTGTAAAACCAGTTTGATGGACGATGTGGACTTTTTTCATTCTGATTTTTCTTTGTGAGTAAAAATTCAAAGCTTCTGGTTGCGCATTAATGTTGGTGATGAATAAGACTTGATGTGATTTTAATCATTGTCTTTTGAAGGTAAAGGCTGCCCTATTTTGGCACAAATCTGGTAAAGTCAGTGGGACTGTTTGAGTCTCTTGGTCAGTCCGTGATCTGCAGCAATCAGTTGTGTGCCTGGGTCACCTTGCCAGTTCCCAAGGCACTTAAATCCCATTTTCCTTTGTTTCATAGAAGTTCTTATTTTTTCTCTAACTTTCATGCTGCATAAAATAACCATGTAAACAACAAGAGTCTCGTGTGTGTTTGGAGAAGAACAACACAACACAATGCTCCAAACGTAGATGGACATCATTCACACTGTAGCTTACAGCATCTGAATCCCCAGCCTGTGTGATGTGTGTGTTAGGACAGAGTTGGTACCTCAGTTCCCCTGAGTTAAACCTAAAAACCGCTACAGGGGTTTTTTTTATTCCTTCTTTGGCGTTTAAAATTTGTGAAAGGCTAACTTACAGGACTTGTACAATAACTATTTTCTTTCTCATTTTTCCCATGTTGGCACTACAGGATGGGAATCGCAGCTCCTGGAAACGGGATTCCTGGGGATATTCCTCTGCCCGCTCTGGACCCTCTCCCGCCTGCCCCAGCACACTCCTCCTTCCAGCATCGTCATCTGGGGCTTTCGGTGGCTCATCTTCAGGATCATGCTCGGAGCAGTAAGTGGGACTTCACATTTTTTGCTCTTTTTTTGAGGTGACAGCGAAAGGAGTGTCTCATCCCAGCAGAAAACCTGCCCCTGGTCCAACACGTTGGAGTCCTCTGGTTTAGGAATTTTTCTGGTAACAAGGAAGGAGCGTGTAGCAGGAAATGCTTCATGCTCTCTTTCGCAAAATCTTTCAACTTACTATTAGGGTGTATTTTAAGGCAGACAGACATAGGAGTAAGAATATCTGTGTTGATATGTTGGTGCTGCTCTTCTGATTGGCTCTTGAAGAGGAATAAAAGTGAAGTTTGAGACTTGGGCATTGTGGCTTTTTGATAAGATGTTTGGGAGTCCAGTGGGTAATTCCCAGGAACCAGGAGCTGTACCCTGAGTTATTATTTCTTTGTGTGTGCTTTGCTGATATGTCATTCTCTGCTCTGTGTTTTCAAAGAGAACAATTGCTGCGTTACTGTCCCAGTGCCAGTGGAAATTCCCAAGTAGCTTGTAAAAGAATCCATCAGGAACTGACACATCTTTGTTAAAATAAAGGTGTGGCAGAGGCATTATCCTGGCGTCTCGATACACATTTTGGACATTTCAAAATATCCCAAAACTTTAAGCTGAGGATCATCACTGTAGAAGGTGTTTGCAGGCAGGTGGGACATTCCTGCGTCCATTTACTCTAAAATTCTTCTCTCACCCCACATCTTAAAGTGCTTGAATCTGTAGTCATAGAATCATAGAATGGTTTGGGTTGGAAGGGACCTTGAAGACCATCGAGTTCCAACCCCCCTGCCCTGGGCAGGGACACCTCCTACCAGCCCAGGTTGCTCCAAGCCCCGTCTAACCTGGTCTCGAACACCTCCAGGGATGGGGCAGCCACAGCTTCTCGGGGCAACCCTTTCCAGTGCCTCACCACCCTCAGAGTGAAAAATTTCTTCCTAATGTTTAATCTAAATCTCCCCTCGTTCAGTTTGAAGCCATTCCCCCTCGTCCTATCACTACATGCCCCAGTAAAAAGTCCCTCCCCAGCTCTCCTGTAAACCCCCTTTAGATACTGGAAGGCCGCAATAAGGTCTCCCCGGAGCCTTCTCTTCTCCAGACTGAACAGCCCCAACTCTCTCAGCCTCTCGTCATAGGAGAGGTGCTCCAGCCCTCAGATCATCTTCATGGCCCCCCTCTGGACTTGCTCCAAAGCAAAACTAGGTCAATAAGCTCTTAACTATCCTCCTGCTCTTAGAAAAAATAAAATAAATTTAAGACAAACTGTTTTTGTATTAACCTTAGTGTTACCTGTTTTTCAGACAACTTTGTTAGTGGAGAATGTGTTATTGCAGTCGATATTCTTGGAAAATGTGTTCTGTACGCTTGTTGCATCAAAGGGCGTCTTCCCAGCCCACGGCAGTTCAGCAAATTCAGCTTGAAAGAGCAGAAAATTTTGCTTTTTTGTATGTGTCGTGCAAGTGGTATTTCAAAACCCACTCTTTGATGTTGCATTCATTTCTTTGCCATAGCTGTTGTGTAGCATTGCCAAATTTTGCTCAGCTTCCTAAAGCTGCAATTCTTGCTCGTTATTAATTCCTGCCATTCTTGCTTATTATTAATTAAATAGATCTGGTCCTGCTGCAGGGCAATATAGATGGACAAAATGACTCCTGAAGGTCAACTCCACCACAGCTTTCTGTGACCCTATAGAATATCTGCATATGTAGATAATCCCATAGATTTTAATGCAACTGCTGCTTGAAAATATTCAGTAAGGATTTATGGGACAAAGTCACCTTTGTAATGCTTTTAAAATGCCATAAAGCCTTCGGTTGGAGTTCAGGTGAATGATGCTGTTCTAGTGTCCTGCTGTGCTGTTCCTGCCATACCCTGGGATGGAGGCACCTGTAATTGCAACTTTACTTTAAATGATAGAAATCCAGTCTTTTAGGAAGCCTGACTCTGGTAGAGAGAAGGTCTTGTCTGATACTTCCCAGGATGAGAGCGGGAGATGGAAGATCTCTGTGCTGGGCTGAACACACAGTGTCTGGGCACTCATGGCAAACAAGCTGTTGTGGTTAGGTAGGGAATGCAAAATTATTTAGGGTCTTGTGATCTGTTTTGGGGAGTCTTTTCCTGGGACAGCTGGGAAATTCCTGTTAGAAAAAAAAGCTGGAATGGTTGTTAGCAAAACTGCGGATAGGAAAGGAATTGAAATGGGAGCATCTGCAGAGCTTGGTGCTGTTTATGAAATGATGTTGAAGGGAAGCGTGATAGCCAAGCGAGGTGCTGTGTATGGTTCTGGGAGAGAATGATGGAAGGTAATCGTTAAAAATGGCCTGCCTCAAACCAGCAGTTTGTAAATCTGTGCGTGGACCCTTCTGCAGCATCAGAGTCCATCACTGGGAGAAGCAGTCGGGAGCTGTAGGGCTGGCACCGTGACAGGCTCTTACTGCACAGAGACACCGTCCCCATAGCATCAGGGCTGCATCTGTGGCGGGTCTTACTGCTCACCGTCACTTCTGCACAAGGTGGCCTCTCGACTTCTTCTGGCTCTGTGTGGAACTCCTGGGGGACAATAATTTGCAGTCCACGTGAACATGACAGATGATGAGATGTGGGTCTCCATGCAGTTGATGCAATGGGGATGAAGGATATGTTGTCGGTCTAGTGAGAACGGTTCTGTTGAAACTTTTTTGTCTGAGAGATTAAAGGTGGGTTTGGTATTAATTTTTTGTGAGAAAGCGTCTGTTGTTCTTGATGCTTTCCCATTTCTCACCTTGACTTGCTTAAAATTGAAATCTTTCAAAGTTGGCTGGAGAAAGGTCCCTGTTACATCTACCCTTGAGCTGGCTGGAGCCGCGTGTCCCCGAGCCGTGGGATAGGTGTGGGGAGGTCACAGTCCCGAGGGCAGCTGCTCTCCGCCTGTGGAAGGATTTCTACGAATTTAAAGCCGCACTTAAAACTTAACACACTGGCCACGACTGAGGCATGGTTTTTACAGTAGTTCTCAAGTGTTTTAAGCAAGTGTTTAGGGAACACAGTTGAAGGCTGCTAACCTGCCAGAAATATCCATCCATGTTTTATTACAAATTAAATTTCCTGTCTGCTCCTTTAAGCACAGAATGATAAGCATGTTAGTAGCTGGCCCGCGGGGTTTCTTCATTATATTTTTGAGGGCAGCAAAGGTCTAAGTTGTTAAAGATCTGTGAGCGCAGTAACACAGCGCTGGCTGGCCTTCAGCGACACTCGTGGGGACCCACGTGGGTCACCGGCGGGGTCCCAGTCTCTGCAGAACCCCTGTGCAGGGATTCGAGAGGAGCTGAGAGTGATCCCTGTCTGCTGGATTAGATCCCATGAGGTGACCTGTTAATCCTCTGACCTGGTGAAGTCCAAGATGCAAGTTACCTTAAATGCAAGTTAGACTTCACTTTGACTGCCGGGCTTGCGGGGGGCATGCTTGTGGGGGTTTGGTTTTTTGGGGTGGGTTTTCTTGTTTGGTTGGTTTTTTTCAGGAACCTCATTGTGAATGCATTATTTGGGCCATTTATCACCAATGACATTTTCACCAAATGTCAGCATAACCCCTTTGTCCCTGAGGGGTGGAGGCTAACTCCTGTGGTCTTGATGCTTCTCAGCTTCTGAAATGCTATTTCTCAGTCGTGATGCTGATTGTAGAAAGAATCCACGGTCCATGACACCAAACGTAGGGAAACACAGCTGATTTTCTTAACAAGTTATGTGATCACCGGGTTTGCATCCTGCTTTCCTTTTAAAATGGGAGTTTGACTGAGCTTTGCTCTGTTCCTGCGAATTTGTAATATATATTCTGAATTATGGGACAGGTTGGCTATAAAGGAAAACCATGCTCACCAAACATCTTTGTTTCTGTTATCCCTGTCCCATTTCTTGATTTTTATCTGGAGAGTAATAACTCTCCTGTTATTTTAGGGAGAGCCCGCTGCAGAAGAGATGCCGCCCCACGAGCCCCGTGTCTGTCTGGGTTGCTGATATATAAGTAACAGGCATGGGAGGGGAAAACATGGAAAGGTCATTAAATGGGGATCTGTACAGGCAAGTGGAAATCAGTGATTGATGGTATCTTTAATGTTTTGGGGCCCAAACACATGTACGTTTCCTTCTCAGCCGGGGTAATGACGCTTGCAGGCACCGGGAAGCGAGTTTAATGCGTGAAACCGAAGTATCCTCCTGGAGCGCAGGTGCACCTGCTCACAGGCCATCTTTGATTTCTTCCCTAATCTGGGCTGGAGCTGAAGCATGTGCACAAATGGGGCTGAAGGAGGTTTTTCCCAGGGGTGGGATTGGCAATGATTATATTTTACTCGGAAAGAAAGTCCGATTTTCCCGCACGGTTCTCCGGGGACTCTTCTAGTTGGTTGGGATGAGGCTTTCCGTGTAAAATGCCATCCTCCAAGCGAAAGGCATTCGCTCGGGTCAGCTTGGATTTTCTCGCCTTGTGCTGGATGTGAGGTGAGCAGTGCCATGGGTGGGTTTGAAACGCACCTTAGCTCGGCACGCTTGTCTCTCTCTTGCAATGTGGTGACTCCCAGTGAAGGCTTCAGGTTCTTATCCCATAGCTCTCCTGTTTCCTGCAGTCAGTTCCTGTATCATGAACAGTACGTGGGGGTGGATTTCACTTGTCAGCCCCCTTTTTTTCCATTCGGCATATCGTATTTGGGAACTTTTTCCATGTGGAGGTCTAACAACCAGAGACTGTGCATTGAAGCACTAGGAATTCCTGCCAAAATGAACACTGATGTGCTGATGCCCATTGCAGCCCCTCTTCTATCAGCCTGTGAAAGAACAGAAGATCAAGCCCAGTAAGCTGCTGGATAAAAAATAAACCTGACTGTAAAGCAGGGAGGATGGACCTTGAGGATATTATTATTTCCTAACCCAAATTGGCGTGATTGTTGCTACCAGTCTCCCCAGAGCATGTTAACCATCATCTCAGAAGCTTCCTATATCCTATCACCCCACATGCTTGGTTACAACCTCCGAGTTAAG